CCCATCCCCCACCTTAATTTACTTGAAACCTAACACACAAACATCCTAAAAAACCAAATCTTAATTACCCCATTCTCCTACAATACAAAATCAGAGTCATATGGCATTAAAGCCATTGAAGAGCAATGACCTAGCGACAAACAACATACTGCTCTCTAATAAATTATATCTAATAAAAAATATGGGGAAGCAATGGGTGGCATATCAATGAGAGCACTGTCACCTCTCACCAAAGCAAACCGGGTTCGAGTCCCAACAAGCTTGGTGTTGTATGTGAGTTGAGTTGTTTGTTGGTTCTCTCCTGTGCTTCGAGGGTTTTTCGGGTTCTCCAGCTTTCCTCCCTCCGCAAAAATCAACTTCTAAATTCCAACTGGAATCCAGTGGAAGAAGAGGCCTCTGTGGAATCCACTGCTAATCCCATCATTTCTTATTATTTATTACAGACAGCAAGGCCCTGTTAGGGGTAATTAATTAGGACAGCTACACAAGAACATTCCAAAATTATGACATAGGTAGTTGTGAAATTCAGATAATTCATTCAGTACATAAATTACCAGCTCTTTGACATGATCCTTGCCACACATTTCATGATAATCAGATATAAAAAGGACTAAAACTGAAGCAACAGCAGCAACAAATCCAGGCAAGAGGCACCACTTCATGAAAACCCTGAAATAAAATCCACAAAAAAGATAAGGTTATACACTTTTTCAGGTTTCATGCTAAGGTAACCACTTAAAATTCAACCTGACTATTCAAGGCGTATACAAGGAACCAAAAATGAATATGTTCAGCTAACTATGCCAAGGTTTTACACGGTGGTTGCACATGCCCGAATTTCTGACAAGATCTATGTCAGAACCTTGCAAGTAATGGTCAAAGCAAAAATTCAAGGAGTTTTCGAGGAGTTTTGCTAAAATCGTAAAATTTAAGAGCTTTTCAAGTGTCCTTGAAAACATTAATTAAATCTAAGGAGTTTAAAGAGTAGCACAAACCCTGCTTTTTATTGGGGATTCAGGTCCAATGGTGTATGATTCACGGACATTTACCCCCCCCTCCCCCTCCCTTCTCCAGAGTTTTATTTAAAAAACTAGCCCCTCATTTTTTATCCTGTTTATTGTAAAAGTTATGCATGACTCTGATTTTTTTGCGTGGCCCACCCTCTTGAGTCTGATATATAAATATAAATTTAATGAACCCCCGTCAAATCCTACTGACCCACCCTCCCCTTTTGAGCAGCTTACATGCACTAGTAACTTGTTATTTAATCTTTGGAACAAGCTGTAGCTAACAGCCTATATTAAAACTTTGAACTCTGAATGTACATTTAAAAAAAAAAGGATACATGGCTTGTTGATAACGGGAAATCATTATATTTTCAATAATACACACAAGGCAAATAAGTATGAACAAAAAAGATTTAAAATGTCCTTATTAATGCATGAATCAATTCCAAAGGTGCTAATCCCGGCTTCAACCACTAACCTAAGTTTATTGACAAAGAGAAAAAATTGTCACAACAGATAAAATTACTGTTTTGTTGAGAGGAAATTCGAGATTTTTCATCCATGATATTGGGAAAATTTATGATTTTTCATTTTAATAGCCATGAATAAAAAAACTTCAGTTGTACGGGCTCAGTTTAGTACTCTTTAGGCAAAATTTGAGATTCATCAGACTGAAGTCAAATGCCCGGGGGGGGGAGATGGGCACCTTTGGAATTGACTCATACATAACAAGGGTAGCAATTAATAGCCAAACAAATTTCCCATGCACTTTAGGGAAGGCCCTCAGTTGCCTAAGCTACAGATAGAGGACTTTGCAATTTCTCAGTTGCCTTTAGTAACAAATAGAAGAGCTTGCAATTTTTCACTACTA